TGTGCCTGTAATTTCACTAGCACCCTTACGCTTCGAAACCGAAACGCAGTAATATGAGCATTATTGCTTGGCGGCAGAAATAGGTAAGGTGGACACAAGGAGCTCTACTGCAAATTAAAATTATAAATAATACGAGTATAATATTTCTTACTTCTTCGGCGACAGGTTTTCCACGACCCATATTGATTAAAATAATTAGTAACAATAATAAAAAAATATTTGAAACATGCCTTTTTATACCGTTTGACACCTTAAATGACGATCGTATTATATTTTTAATTTGCGTTTTATGTATTTTTTCTGTAAAACAATATAATAAGGCTGAACGCTAGGCGTAGACGAACCATTTTGCATCAATTGAGGAGAACAAGACGAAGTGTTTTTCGTAATGCATTTGTAAAGTAATATCCAGGATATAAATTATTCCTCAATAGTGCAAAACTGACCCTTTAATAGAGTACTACATTGTATTACTTGTTTGTTGCTAGTGCAGTCTTTCAAAGAAATAAATAGTTGAAAAAAAAAAAATCTGCGTAATGTATAATTAGACGAACTCTTTTGCATCAGATCTCGTACAATATATAACAAGATTATGTATATATAATCCCGGACACATAATTCCAACCACCCCGAATTTTTGTCGCAAATGGCTAGAATACAAAAACAGTGTTATCATCGAAGAAAAAATTTTCCCCCGGTTTTGCAAATCCAAATTACCAACAAGGACTTATGGAAAAGACGTTTAGTATACTAGTTCCAAATTTGCGTACTACGTTTTTGATCAATCACATATTGTTTAAGCTTATGGCACTTAATAATGAAAATGCGTGGTGGCTCGAATTATGTGTCCGGAAGTGTATATAGAACACAGTGAAATACTCTCAAAAATAGGAGCAATATATTAATTCGAGTAATCATTGGAAATTCCACATTATCTGCATGCATTTTGTGTTAAATTTTTTTAGCAATTGTCAACTTGTTACTGAATTGTAGACATAATAATGAAATTGTTTATAGGAATTATTTATTTTGACATTTTTAATGTCGTTAATAAACGAAATTTAAATTAATTGAGATAATGTATTGTAAAATTACTTGACCCGTATTACGTTATAAAAAATAACATTTTGCGAATATCATTTAATCTTTGAAATTACTCTACATACTGATAGTGAAGTTGTGAAATATTCGTTTCTGCGAGAATATTGTATGAAAATTAGTATTAGCGCGACTACAGCGCCACTGTGGCGTCACTCCAGCGCTGTTATGAGCGTCTTAATTTAAAGACACCTTAACAAGAAACTTCACTATCTTTTGTTTAATTGCATTTATGACAGTTTTTGTAACCCACTAAACTAATGTCCCTTAGCAGTCTAGATACGTGCCGTTCCTTTATCTAACTAAAGGTCGCATCTAACATTCTTCTTGGACCGCCATCTCCTACCGGAGGTCGGCTACTACTATAACCACTGGGGCCCGTGATTTTGAGGCTCGGAAGTGTAATGTAGTGCTCATGTTGAACCTCTCTGCAAGATTTTGAAGCCATGTGGTTTTTCTACTGCCACGTCTTGCACGCCTCATTCGTTGTTCGCAAAATATTTTTAAAAAATACAACAAAGCACTTGCAGTGTAAAAAGTAATCATAGTAACTAACAGATAGTTTGACCGTAGTATAACAAGACACGGCTTGTACGTGTGCCCACTCGCCACGCGCCTTGTACAGACGCACTGCCTCCGTGGCTGAACGGTTACCATGCCGGACTGCCACCGGCCGGGAGAAATATTTCGACCCCTCCTACGTAAAGTTTACAGGTGAGCGTTTTAAAGTTCTGAATTCACTGAAAGAGTGATCACCATAGATCATCTAACCGATATCTAGGATTTTATAATACTCTATGTGAGTAACGAGCTTTGCCGAATAAAGAAATGCTAAAGTCAGAACTTTAAAACGCTTCCCTGTAAACTTGGCAATTTCGACATACGATACTTTACTTCGGAGAGGTCGATTTGTATGGCCTACATTTATTTCTCTCGTGAGTTTGGGTGTGTGTCTATGGCACTCGCGACACAGGGTTTCCCTAGTGCGGGACTATGTTGAGTGTGTGCGTTATTATTATTACTAAACGCTCGCACACATTTGAATAATCTCGCGGTGTACTCGAGTTGCATACCGCGGGTTGCTCGCACCATATTGATTATAGAATTCAAGAGTTCACTCGATGTTTAACATATCGCCTGCTTAAAGCTTTAAAACCACATAAGTGACATTTTCCAGTTCTAAGAAATTCACCATCTTTCTGCAGATTAAACTCTTATTAAGTTTGTAGTTTTTTTAAATTAAAGACTTTTTGTGGAAAATGTCACTTACGTGGTTTTACTTTAGCAGCCGATATTTTTGTACCAATTTATAATTTTTTGATTTAAAATTGTGTCGTTATGTATATACAAACTCGCATTTCATTTCCATTTCTAGATCATACCCACAAAAATCGAGAAATTATGCTATGATCTTATTATACTATGTCTAACTCCCTTACTACAAAAATGTTAGATACGGCAGTTATTTAGCTGAAGGACCATAATTATAAAGACAGTGCTATATTTAAAAAAAAAACTTAAATAATTACAATCAAATAATTCACCGAATGCTTGTTGAAATATATTTACGTGTAGTTTACATTTGTATATAATATTAATACGCACAAGTGTACCGCAATGTACAGTCAACGTCATAAAGTGTTCACGTTTGATTAAAATCAGCTATCTGAATTTATATTCAATTTAATTTTCTATTGAAAGTGCGATTAGGTAATGATGAAGCTTACTGTACTTTTCGGGGTACTTCAATAAAAGTAGACGCGCAAATGTATAGTGGTCAATGTAATCACAATGTTCTTTAGTCTGTTATGTATTTGCTTCGACCAAAATTATGTAATATAGATGTTGTAATAAATATTTTTTATTAAGTACTTCGTTTTATTTACTACGCATCATTGGTGTTTTATTATATAATTATAATTTATTATATTAGTAGTAATTATATTAGTTCCGAGAATTGTAAATTGTGACCTAATTGAGCTAAGCATTGACTTTTGTCGTTCAATGTTCGTTTTCTTACTGACCGAATGAATTAATGAGTTCAATATTTTATTAATTGCATAATAAAAACTACAATAACTCCATAAAATACCAGTTTAACGCGTAAAATAAAACAACCCTGTGGCATTGTCGTTGCGATCTGTTTATAGAAAATTGTGATCTATTAACATAAATCACATCTGTCTAACAAACTTTTGACAGAATAAGTTATTCTACAAATTATCTATCCAGGCCTTGACTGATAATTTCATCGACTTATTTATTATCTGTCAAATTTGAAACTGATAACTAGTTTATGTTACAAATTATCTGGCAAAGTTTTGATAGATAATCATTATTAATTTTGAGGCTTGTTGAATAAAACTAGTGGTTGTTGGTAGTAGAAGGCGAATGGATATATTTCATATAATCTGGCTTACTGAAGTCACTTTTCGATGCCTACTTTCTCAAACTCGGTATCTTATAAAGAGTGATTGTTCAGGAGATGGCAAATCTTTCTATTCATTTTAAATTTCTTATCAAGGATGTTAATTTTGATGCATTACTTTAAGAATAGGTGAAAGCCAGTGTGTGAATATGAAGGAGATGTGATGTGAAATCAACCTGCAAAATTTGTATATACAATCCATTTTTAGCATTTCAGTAACTTTGTGCTTTAAGATACGAGTTTGAGAAAGTAAGGCGACGATTTTTAAAGCTCTTAATTGTAAAGGTATTGGCGAGAGTACATTATTACGGCGGCTGGTACGTAAATAGGGGGCCAGCGCCCCATCCACGCTATATGGTATGATGCACCTACACAAGTGTTAACAGATAACTTTTGACAGATTGTTTGAGAAATGATCTGTAAATTTTTATTACATAATTCTTCCCACATATTATCTATCCAAGTAGAAGAGTTCTAAGTAATCAGAGACAGATTGTCAATGCCACTGGGTGTTCTTCAACCTTAATCGGTTGACCTGCATTAAGCATATTAAAATTACATTACAGTTATCAAAAACTTTGATATCAATAGTAAATAGAGGTGCCACCTGGGTCCAAAAGTACAAATTATCAGTGCGGCAAATTAACGCTACCACGAAAAAACATAATGTTATTTCTGTGGTTGTAATTATTTATGACCTACAATAAATAGGTCTATAGGTATAAGGTCAATGTAGGGGACGACTAATAGCATTCTTCTTTTAAATGTTATGGCCCCATCGAAACAATCAATGATTTTGCCAATGTCAAGTAAAAATAACTATGTACAATTCATTATGTTATGTCATCGAGTATATAACCAGAAATAGAGACGAAATGTCATTTAATTTGTTTGTAAACTATTCTGCCAAATCATTACTGTCACAACTGCGCTCAGATTGGTCAGCCCGAATCGACCAGTTTAACTTGAACTTTGCTATAATGGACGAAAAATTAAAAAAATACATGTTTATTATTTAATTACCGATGAAATGTGATTCCATTTGTTTTGTAATTAGATGTTTTGCTGTTTTTCCCACACCATCGAATGGACCAGCCCCCATTGTTAGAAATATTATCTTTATTGCAATAAATACAGAATATTTTTGGAATATGCCGAGACGTACACACAGGTCAGTTGTTGGCGCTGCACTATTTCAGTTTTGTAATTTGTGATTTAATGTGAAAAATGATATAAGGCCCCATTTACCTGATGAGTAGCCAGCTATGGATAGCCCTTATTTCGTCTCTATTTCTGGTTATATACTCGATGTGCTATGTTTGCAAAACGTTGCTTCCATTCCCTTAGATGGCAATTAAGACTAATTATGTTGATAAGCTCGTTTTTCTTTAGCTTATTGAATCTCATCATCATCAGGTCCATGATATTTGTTTTTACGTAACTGAAATTTGTACATTACACGCTGCTCGGATAGGCGCTAGTTCTAGCGGTATTGGCGTCAAAGCAGGTGAGAAATAGATATTAAACAAAAACATATCACGTTAAAATCTTGTTTTTTGTTGGTGTTAGTCCTAATGTCCCCGTAAACGTAAATAAATGAAAACCAACCTTACTTCAATTAATTTAACGTGCACTAATTGTTAATTCATATTTTAGTCTCAACACATTTATTTATTTTTAAATTCTTTATTCAAAAACCTGCTTAGAGTTGCAGGTACAAACAACTTAAATTTACGTTTTAAAACTTCCATTTAGTATCAAAATATATTGGTGCTATCACAGTATGTCAAAATATTTCTCTTAACATTATTCGTAAAATCAGTAAGGCACAACAAAATAGTCTTCCTTGAAATTGTCAATTTACTCTCAAAAATAATATCGTGCGTAATATTACTGCTTTTGCGAATCAGGGCTTGGAATATAGTTATATTGACCTTACTCCGGTACCTGTACTTGAAATACTATCGGTATAAATTATATAATCTGTATTTTCAAGAAATGGTTTCACTGACCTTATGGTATCGGTATCATTTATCCGGTATTATTATGGTTTTTGTAACTATTGCATACCGGTATATTATTCAGAACAATCTGACAACGTCAAGGGCACCTTTAGGCAAATATATCGATTTTCCGTTCGTACCGGTATCCTGGTATCGATATAAAAAATCATCATTACACTAATGTGAAAATAGTTTGTCTACACACGTTTCCTGTACTGGTTAAATCTGCCGGTAGAATTAAAAACACCTTAATAACAAAACATTGAGATTCAAAATACTCCCACTCAACCTTTCCCGGGCTATGCTTGCAAAACTACCAGATGCTTGATGCAACTAGGACATATGTCTCCCGTCTCCAACATAACATATGACTTCACCTTGAATTCATTCCGGTGGGGCTCATTCATATCCAACACAGTATTTAAAGGGAATATTGGGACTAATCACCAACTGCCTTATAGTAGAACTTCGGCTTTTCGAAAAATAAACTGCTAAAGATTAAAAAATAGTGCACTATTACACAGTTTTACAATATCTTCTGCACAGTAGCGCAACACCTTTGATGTTCAGCGATTCCGCCGCGTGACGCTTTATTTTTAGATGTTATCAGAGTTCTGTTATGAAATTGAACTATATACTGGTGTAATTACTAATACAAAGATCAAACACTCAGAAAAAATGCTTCGATCCTGCTGAATTCGAACCGACAACTTCTAGCATACCGTGACAGACGCTATACCAACTAAGCCACGGAACGAACCAGCGGACCTCACGAATTTTTTACGTGCTTGCGGCGTATCTTTGTTTTTGGTTTTTCAACGACTTTTAGCCATAGCGCCATCTATGAGAAATCTATGATATTTCGTCACCTTTACAGCTACCAGCCCCGGCTAGAGATGTCGCTGTTCATTGTATTTAAATTTTTATTGAATTTATATTCAATTATTTTTATGTGAATTTACTCCACTAGTTTGTTATTATTATTAATACAAAGATCGAACACTCAGAAAAAGCTCCTTCGATCCGGTCGGATTCTAAAAAAATCGTTGAAAAACCAAATACAAAGGTACGACGCAAGCACATACAAAAATTCGTGAGGTCCGCGGGTTCGTTCCGTGGCTTACTTGGTCGGTTCGAATCCGGCTGGATTGAAGGAATTTTTTCTGAGTGTTCCATCTTTGTATTAACAATTATAACAAACTAGTGGAGTAATTTCACAAAAAAATAATTAAATATCAATTTAAAAAAATATATATACTGATATCTCAAAAATACCCCGACAGAGCGATACAGTGGGTAGGTGAGCTACCTACCAACCAGAAAAAAATAATTTGATCTTAGTAAAAGTGTTTTGGTTTTCGAGATACTTTTTTATTCTTTTTGGAAAAACTACTTTTTGTTGGATTTTATGCTATTATTGCCAGGTTTTGCTACAGATGGTTGGAATTTTTCTATTTCGAGTATTCTTAATAGTTTCTCCAAGTACTGCAACTGATATTTTACTGAGTAATGCCATTAAATGTGAATAAAGTTATTAATTTGAACCCTCGAGACCCTTGTAAAAAAATTCAAATTATTTTTTTCTGGTAGATATATGTAGAGCTCATCTACCCACAGTGTCTCTCTGTTGTGGTATTTTTGGGGCATCCTGTATAATTATTCGCATTTGGATGACTTACTTGTAACTTGAGCATGGCCGTCAGTTAAGTTCTACATTACTAAGTACAAGGTTCGGAGTATCTTGGTACTTATAAAATTAATTGGAACAATAAAATGCTACCGCTAGCAATGTCGTACCATGGTTTGTATTATCCAAACATGTCAAATGTCAATGTCAGAAACAAGCTACAAACCAAATCGATTTCCCCCAAGATTTTTTTCGTATGTTTTGTATTTAGTTTTGTCATTATTGACAAAATTTTCTTGTCAAAAATTAAAGTGACGAAAAAGCCATGAATCAGCTTGACTAATTATCGGATATTTTTATCGAATAATCAAAAGTCTTCAAATTCTGTCACATTTTAAATTCCTACACACGTACACAGAGCAGAGTGTATGCGCAACTGTATGGTTGGTAACTAATTATCTACTAATTACTTAGTAAAGAGAAATAAGTGACAATAAATAACGCACAATTATTCCCAACGCGTGTGGCGAGATTTTGATTTGTAGTTATTAATAAATTATTATTAAACATATTTGCAGTTGCCGTGCAGTGTTTCTATTGTCTAATTGACAATATAACGCTATGGGGTAAATGCGTCTGTGGGGCAATTGCGTTTTATTAAAATTCCCTATGACAATCTTAAGTGTACACGTTGACTGGCTTTGCAAGTTCACTACACACTACTCTCCGTGAAAAGGCCACGGTTTTAGAATACATTAGTTTGTAAATCTGAAAAATCGCAATTTCCCCATAAATGCTCACTTAGAATGGGCAGGGGTTACAAAAAGGGCTAAATGAAACCCGACCTGTTAAATGTTGAGTGCACTTAAAATGGAGCTACATGTAGCTGGATCATTTTCAGGTTACTTTTGTCTACCTAAAGACATTAGGTATATAAAACTAACCTGAAAATTACCCACTAACGCGCCATCTAACGGCAGAAAATAAAATCATTATTTTACTTGTGGTCGTTATTTGATATCCAGTGCAATCAAAGTACACTCACGAGTAATAAAATCGGGCAGATTACTGTAAATACAAAATAATAATAATTTAAATTTCCTTAAACGCTCGTAAGAATATTTCGTTGCCTTGCTACGCTTTTTGCCTTTTTTGACAATTTATTTAACAGTAATGCTTTGTATCGTTATCGTGTATTTTTTGACGTTTTTATATGAATACAATCAGTTGCCAATGTCATACCATAGTCAAACGTCAAAAGATACCTCCTCGGTTATCAATCAGATGTAAAAATAGAGTAGCAAAAATATATTTTAAACCCTATTTTAGAATAAATACGGTAACCTTATCGTCCTATACCTTTTTTTTCATGCTGCTCAAACCTATCGGAAACTTTGTATTGGGTGACATTCTTCATTTAACACTTTGCATGCCAATTAATTACACTTCCCTTTTTAAATTTTTTTTTTAACTTTTAAAATATTTTTTACACTATGGACACTAAAAAAAATTGCACCAAAACAAAACTTTGCGTACTGTCAAGCTCATACGAAAAAACACGTTTACAAACATGCCATACTGGATTTTTAAACTTGCACAATTATATATTAAATTATACCTATTGTATACTTGACCTGTTCCGTGCCAAATATTTTCTTGAAATAAAAAAATCTTATACACGAAATTCGAGTATTTTTTTCGTGCCGAATTAAAAAATTCACAACTTTGAGCCTTTTGTTTGTTTTTAAAACAGTATCATTGTCAGACGTAACTGCGCATATTACTCCTACTTCAGTAACTTCGCCAGTTGCAACCGCAGCTAAGATAACCACTTCCGCTCCAAAGTCTGCATCATCAGACCCTGATGTAGCCTTCCCAGCAGTACTAAAAGGCTCACAGAAACAAAGGGTACCACCTCCAGTCCCTCCTAGAGGTTCCCCTAAAGCCAAAAGAGGGGGAGGGAACTCCCAATCAACAATCGACAAAGGTGAATATACTATTAATATATCTGTCAATGATATACCTCCTCAGACACCAATTACAAGTAGTGACGATGATTTTGTGTTCTATGGGCATGATTTCAAATTTAAACCATCGGATGCGTGCAAAATAGCACCATCAATATCTGATACTTCAGTCCAAATTACTAAATTAGTTTCATCTAATTCTTTCCTTAATTATGTGGAAGAAGCTGACAGTATAACAGAGAGATCTCACCCAGGAAAAGATTTGATAGCACAACGTAACATGATGGCGAAATTTGCTGTTGATAAAATTGTGACGGAACATTTGGATTCTGGTGAATATGAAGGAACGTCATTTACTGAATCTAGTAGCGAAGAAGGGATCGTTATATATGAGATCAAAGACGATGAAATTGGGGAGAAGAAGACCGATCCTGACAGAGGAAGACAATCGAAAAGTCCATCGCAATTCATCAAAGGAGTTGTCAACCAAATAGGTGAAAAACTATCGCTTAAATCGCCAATTAAACCAAAATCGCAGACTGATACCTTGAAAGAAAGAGCTAGCGTTCATAATGTCAAATCATCAGATCTAATATCTGCTGCGAAAACTCTGAAAAAAACGACCAAATCCGAAAACTTACAAAAAGACCTCGAAAAAGAAGCTACAGAAGCTAAAAACGTTGGTAAAAGTGGCATTATATCTGGAATTTCAAAAAAATTCAATTTTAATCAATCTAAAAGAGATAAAAATCGCACTCAAGACAAAAAACTTAAACCCAAAATTGAAATCAAGACATATTCAGAAGAACATTCTAAAGGAATCAATAAAGAAGATATCGCATGTCATAAGAAAGCAACAACCAATATAGACATGTTCCAAAAACATATTTGGAAAGTGCAGTCTGATTCTGAAAATAGTTCGCGACGCAGTTCCTTTTCATCGTCTCAAGACAGTCAACGATCTCACAAGATGGAGTTAACAAAGCAAGTGTTGGTAAAGGAAACGAAGAAAAAACTTTTTGAATCTATAGAATTTTCTCAAGGCAGCACAAGTTCCGTTGAAATATTTACGTTAAAAACAGATATCAAACCTAAAATATCAAAAGTAACTGGTAATGTACAGGAGAAGGTAAAAAAATTCTCAGAAACAACTGTTTCAAACGTGCCAAAGAAAGTGCCAAGAAAAAAGAAGTCTAGTTTTAAGAAAAGATCGGAAAAGAAAAAGATTTATACGATGAAAAAAGATATTGAAGAAGTTTTGTAAATGATAAAACCTCGGAGGAAGAAAAATAAAAGTTCTGTTTTAATTTCGAATTGTGCATGAAGAAATATTGGCAAAAATTACAAATTCTATCATCTGTTTATGTTTTGTATCGTCTTCGTAGATGTGTTGTGATTTCGTTGTAGCTTAGTTTTTAGGTCAAACTATATTGGAACTGCAGTACTTATCTAAAAAAATCTTGTACATCAGCTTTATTTTATGTTTTGCCGAATGTACTGGAGTGTAGAATAGATTTTATGCTTTCACTCTCTCCTTTACTTTTACAACCTCTTCTATATTATCCATTGTATTTTTACTAATTTGCATGCTTATTTATTAATAATCTTTAGAGCTTATTGCAAATCATATTTATAGTTAGTTCTGTGTAGTAACTATAAATTGGTATGACTTTAAAATATGGATTTTTTTGTAAAGTCGCATATTACCCTGAAATGGTATATTTGTGTTGTCACTAGTTTTTGTAAAATTCTGCAACGTAACTGAGTCTATAAACTAACTAGTGGGACTGTACAAAAAGTCTTAACTCTAGTTTGGTAACGGTTACACGTTTTACATTATATCAGCATCCCTTGTACGCTCATGTGTTTCATTATTCTTTAGAAATTTTATGACGTTTTTGCCTTTTTGTTTCATTTTGCACACATCTTTTAAAATGTATATAGAAAAATTTATTGCATTGTTCCCTATATAGAGCTATCTCATTCATGTGATTTATTTAACTAATTCATCTTCCATTATCCCCTGTTAACGAAAGACTAAGCTAGAATAGCTAGTAACGCTAGTTGCCCATCCAGCTGGCGCGCCTCTATCGTGCTGTTCAACACCTCCGCCGCCATTCGAAGAGCATCCTCCAGCGCGCACAAGCCGGACAAACTCGTCATCAACAACGTCGTCCAGTGCGTCGGGGCGACGTCGAGGCGCATCAAGCGCAGCCAGCGTAATGACGACGTCATCCGCGTCATCGCTTGCGTTGACGCCGGCGGCGTTAAGTAACGCACGGAGCAATGAAGCTAGGTATATTAGGAATTATTTGAAATATCTGGATCCACTGACGATGACATTGTGTTCATTGTTAAACCCATCCAACAATAAAAAGACTTCATTTAAATAGCAACTTACCGCCTACGCTTGGAAGGTTCAATTTGCAATGATTCTTCATTTAAATTACCACGATTTGAATTGAAAGTAACAGCTGTTACAAATAACAGCAGACACAGCCAAATCAATTAAGTTATTGCACGTAAAAACATCGTCAACAATGTGCAGGTTTTTTTAGCAGTAACATGATCTATTGTGTTATTACTCAACATCGAGTATATAACCAGAAATAGAGACGACATGTCATTTAATTTGTTTGAAAACTATTTTGCCATATCATTGCTGTGACAACTGCGCTCCGATTGAGCAGCCCGAATTCGAAACAATTGATGGGTGTCGTCAATCGTTTAACATTTAATAACCGATGAAATGTGATTCGGTTTGTTTTGTAATTAGATGTTTTGCTGTTTTTCCCACACCACCGAATGGAACCCCTCAATGTTAGATATATTATCTTTATTACAATTTACATAATGTAACCTATCACAAACTCGAATATTTTTTTTCCGACATAACGTTTGTTCGAATTTTCATTACACAGTAAACCGTATTACAACGAAACCGCTGTTCTTTCAGGATATATTGGATGTTTATCGCAAAGACACGATTAGGTTCAGTTAAGTTAGGTTAAGTTAGGTGTAAAAGAAAAACATTTTCCTCTCAAAATTACTTTCGAGGTTATGAAAATTCGAGCAAATGTTATTTCTGGAAAATGTCATTTCGGACTACTAATAGGTAACCATATAAACTACTTCCAGGCTATTGATCAGCGCCATCTAGATATAACAACGGAATTTTTTTTTAGCTTTTTCAGAGCTACGATCTGTAGCATATAGATTACCAATTCTCCCGAGATATTGGTCCAAGGTAGTAATTAAAATTTGCATAATTGTAAAGACTTAGAGAAGCTAAACGGTTGTGCCTTGTGCCGTATGTACACGTTAGGCTATTTTACTGTTTCCTTTTTCATTCACCTTTGAATGTGTGCAGCGTATGTTGGACGCCGCCGGCGTCTGTGGAGGGCTCCACCCCCACCTGGACGGAAGGCACGCCCAGCTTCACGGAGTCCAGCAGTAGTGAACAAGGTAAATGTACACTTTAGTTATTTTTTACATCTGAACGAATCTTCTCGACAACAGCTGTCTTCCTTAACGCAAACATTGCACAATGAACTTTGTTTCGATGAAATAAGTTTAAAATTGACAAAACTCTCGTGAAGAAATTTTTTCGCTTAACTTTTATTCGCTATTAGCGTGGACAAAACCGAGATGTTTACTTAGTTTTCCATTAGATAAAACTCGACCATATTGCTCTGGGATAATGTTTACTTTCGTTTGTTACAGTACAAAAAATACATTTGATAAACAGAAAATTAAAAAAAATATTTAAATAAGACTTACCGATGATATGAAATACCACCATGGGTAATATTATTGGTGCTGTTATCATTTTTGCACTCCAAAACAGCACAATAAGGCATTTTTTACGACGCGAGAAAATTTACGCGAAAGAAATGACACAATAAAGCAACTGAGCTCAAGTAGGTGTAACTAGGGCTACTTTTGACACTCGTGTGATGCTAACTAACCACTTCTGCTCTATTTATTGATTTGTTCTGTGCAAGAGGTTTATAATGTCATTTAACAGGTTACCCCATTACCCCGGCGCGCGGGGCTACTCCCTCCGAAGGACGACGGTCCCCCCGCCCACCACCTCCTCCAGCGCGTACGCTCCCACCCAACACTATCAACTGCCTCACCAGTGAAGTGGTGAGTCTTATTAACCTTGTCTATTGATTGAGTAGTGGTTTAGATCAAGCTCCTTGAAGTTACACGTTTCATTGTAAGTTCATATCAAATTTGAGAGTGATAAAGTAATCATTAATCGCCAATTGCTTTTGGATCGACGAATTTACCTATACTTTGGCGTTAACTTGAACCAGTGCTAATAACGTCAAAATGACAGTTAGTTACTACAGTTACTAACCACACTGCACTAACACTCATTCTAAAGTTAAGTTTGTCGATCTGCGTAATCTATCAAATGGGTAGCCGAATTATTTCTTTTATAAATTCAATAGGGTATTTGACGAGTTTTAAATAATTTTCTTGGTTTTTTTTGTTAGCAATAAAACAGATATGAATAAATGTGCAAACAGATTTGAAATTCGTTAAAAAATAAAATAATTACAGGCATTTCTAAACAATTTATAACTTCTAAAAAACAACAATTATAGTTTGTAACATAACAACCGTAATGGCGGCTTAAAGTGAAAAACTTTAATTATAAACCTATTATTATATATTGCTTTTCCTGTGTAGTTTCCAGGACATTTAGCGAAATGCGGTAAGTCCCCAATATATCCAAAACAATGCAGTGTTTTTTCAACACTGGCCGGTTATTTTAATTTTTGATTTTAAGGTCTAATAGGAAAATAAAAAAAAATTGTCGACTTGAATTTTTTTCATTCAATAATTGTTTTAATTTTCTATAAATACCAGTTTGTTGAGTGGTTCGAGCTTGATGTTGCCTTCGTGTATTTTTTTATTTATTAAACTATAAATAATCAATGTTAAATGATTGGATTTACAAAATCTAAAATAAATCGTTTTGTTAAATGTCAATTTTTTTCAATAAAGATTTAACAAGGCTGTACTAAGTCGATGTTAAAAGATGGTAATTAAATTGATACTTTATGTTTAATTCTTATTTATTTAAATATAACGTTACTATTGTACATTTTCACTTTTTTCTTCCGCTAAATGTGTTTACGTGTGCAGTTTATTTTTTATTTATTAGTGAGTTTTATTCAGAAAACGCTAATACTCTGGCGACACAGAGACGGCCGCGGAAGCGTTCCGGGTTTCATATATTTATATACAACGTTTTTATATGTAACGATATATAAATAAATATCTTCGGTATTACTTAAGATATCGAAAAACGAATTTCAAATAAGTACATTTTCAGCACGCTCTTACGAATTTATTGAAACGCAATTTTTTTTAGTCAAATACCATATTGTGTAATCATGTGTTGCTATATTTTCAGTAACTTGAATGATTAAATGTTTTTTTATAATTAAAATTTTGCGCGAATCGACTTCATAGAGTTTGTTCTTTTAACAAAGTTGTATCTAAACACTTTTCTAACACAGGTGGAGGTATCACTGCCTTTACTAACATAATAATATAATATAGCGTATAACAACAAGGTGAGACCGTATTTCAAGAGACATAAGTTCTAATGTCGCGTGATATTAAAGATACTGCATTAGTCGACTGTAATCGGATTTTTAATTAGGAATTGTAAACTGATATTTAGTGGGTTGCTATTATTGGATGAAACAAAAATAATGTTGTCTTAAAGATCTACTTTACTGATTCACTCAGTAGGTGAATCATTTTACTAGCAGTAGATGAGCTAAGCTCGCTAAACAGTAATGTGAGCATTACTGCGTTCAGGTTTTTGAAAGGTAAGTGTGCTGGTGAAATTATAGGCACATGAAATTTGTCAACTTACGCTCAGTGGCAGTGCCCCTATTGCAGATCTTTGCGATTTAAAGCTCTGAGTGGCACTACAACTGTCATGGATAGGCGCGTCGCTTACCACCAGACACACGGCTTGTCCATCACGTCACTTTGTATTATAAAAGAATGACATCAAATAAATTATATATTTTTAATAATGTCATACCCTTTGTATAATAAACTTTCATATGATCAAGCAAAAGTGCTTGTATCATGTGAGAGTCATAAAATATAATACGTACTACAATTTATTTGTAAATCCGGAAAAAAATAGTTTCATTTCCTATGTGCAACAATCACGAAAACCTAGGCACTCGATGTAAAAAAAGTTATCGACATCATTTTGCAGATGTAGAATTCTAACACCGACGTTGCGATTTATACTTAGGTATTAATTTGATAAAAACAAGAAATTGATAACAGAAAAATAATCTCCTCGCCTCGTATACCTTATTACTGAGGGTCGTGACTCCTCCGCGGCAATAGTCTCCGCATAGCGACGCTATGCTATCTGTGCCGGTCTTTGGCATAGTGGAGCGTATCATGAACACCCACGAAGAAAAATAATAGTAGTAGATTTTATTGAATATCATGATGTGTTATTACCATGATATTCATTTAAGATTTGTGAAATTGTGTTTTCTTTGTGATCGATCTTTGTAATTAGAAGTATTCATATTAAATTAATCTTGAACCTTTCCTTTTTGACTGATTCAATTTCAGTGAGTTAACTGAGAACTGAATCAATCACTATACAATTAATTAAATGGCAACATTATTTTTAAAAGTGACATTAGTAGCTGTCAGTTTGTTATATCTTTAATTAAAAATTCGATTACAAGCACCAGTTACCACTTTCGATTAGGTAGACTGTCTGCCGGATTAAATAACATACACACAAAATAACTTAGAAAATAGAACGTTCATCACCACCGGTTGAAATACTGTCTTAACCTTTTTAAGCCTTATATACTGGATGCCTTGAATTATTTCTTGATCTACAAATTGATTTTACTCGTGTAACTGAACAACTATCCACTAAAATAATGTCGGGTAACTGCTGTATCGTACTAACTGCTGTATCTGTAAGATACGCTCTGGTTGTAAACATCATTTGAAAAAGGTAACCTATTCATCTCAGTATTCTCATATTATATTGAAATAACCATTGTCAAATGCTGTACTTAAATAATGGTATTTTCATACCAGCATCGCAGATTGGTTTATCGATTGTGGGAGTATGACTATGAAATAGAAATGAAATGTTGAACTGACTTCAGCAAGGCTGGGGGCTAAAAAGCCCGCTTTGGCAGAATCATAATATGATTCATTGACATTTCATATTATGAATTTCTTACAACACATAACCACTGTCAAATAGATGAATTGCGTTATATGAATTATAAGAAAATCATAATAAGAATTGTCAATGAATCATGTTATGATTCTGCCAATACTGCCTTTTTAACCCTGCTGATCAGCCCGTGGACAGGGTTGTCAGGAGGCTTGTGTCTCGGGTGAGCAGCCCCGAGTGCACATATAGTAACTCCCTATTTTCCAGATAGGTACCGGAGCTGTTGGCACACTACTGCCCGTTGTGTATTGCACAACTAACGGTTGCCACTATTAAGCCGTTGATATAGTAAATGAAATATGTATTGTCAAATAAATAAATGAAAGTATTTTTATTTATTTATTTGACAATACAGACAAAAGATTTTTTTTTACTTTACGACTGTTCATATCTCAGCTATTCAGTCACACGAGTCGTATAATTTGCAAATGAAGTAATAATTAAAAGTTGCCCTTAACTTACACGCTTTATAAAATTGAATAAAAATCATTGAGTTTTTTGTACCACAATTTTTCTAATATTTTTTATCATCCTCTTCAGCATGAAATTTACAATTTGATACTAAAAAATTCAATTTAGAGCTTCGTTTTATGTAATTATCTGTTATTTTTGTAAACAGTCATATTTATTTGTTAATATTATGCTCCCCGAATTTTGTGAAAAAATAAAGAAACAAAAACAAATTCGAAAAAAAAAATTCAAAGCAAAATAAAGACAGAACAGGTCCAAAAATTAAGTTAGCGTAGTAGCGTAGTTAATAGGAACATCGATTTGAAACAAATATTGTTAAAGATAAGTGTGAACAAATGTTTGTTTACAAAGAATAGAATTTCTTAAGGCGACTTTAAACTAGACGCTTATGTAAGTGCTACAGTGGCACCAATGTCGTGTCACGCGCGCGCCATCGTACAGACACAATTAGTGAATTAAATATTACTGAAAAACTACAGACGCACGGCTGGCGCGTCATAAACGCGCCACTGCACTGCTACAAGCAGTCTGCACTACAAGCGTCTAACTTAAAAGCGTCCTATCTCTTTGTTCTCAGAGAAATTTGCCTTACGCACGAATATTACTATTCCATTAATTAAAGTTATTAATTTTTTATACATTTTTATCATAATTGTACGTTACAATTATTAGTGTTACCAAGTGTAAAAAGTTCTTTTAATAATGGAATATGAGTCTACGAATAAATATTTAATATGTATCAATAAAAAAAACTCAATGATTTTTTAAATGACAATCCGAGATAGAATAAAAAAATTTGCAATTTTGAAAATTTCACTAAGTAAACATTTTTGAGATTCTATCTGCGTGTTGTTCCTAACAATTTTTCTAGCATTTTTACACGCAAAGTTTTAAAGTGTTTTGCAGCATTTTTTACAGTGTAAATTAATTGCGTTTTTTTTGGACGCTGCTTGGAATGGTGGGTTTGGTAGATGCACCTCAAAGAACAAGTAGACAATGATTATAAATGATAAATATAATCATTATGAGACATATACTTAGCCCAAAGGGGCTTAATAGTAAAAAATGTCGACATGTTAAAAAATTGTCGTTGATTTTTTTTAACCTACTCGGATCTTTTTTTGTGTGAAAACCCCTACGTATATGTCTTAAATATGTTATTTATTCGCTTGAAAGTCTGTTTATTTATAAACAACTACGCGCTAGCTTATTAGATTTACCATTTTTAGGAGCTTCATGTCATAACTTTTTTGAAAATAAAAAAGCAACAAAATTGGGTGCTTCCATTTTGAGGAACGCGAAAAATAATTTTTAATGTTAAATGTTTAAAAAAAGAATAACATTTTTAGTAACGAAAACTAGCAATAAATTCGTGTTGATTATTTCGATAAGAGATATTTTCTTTTTTACTTAA